ATGGCCCCAGGGTCGATCCCCATGCCACACTTGTTTGCCCAAGTCAAGGCAATATTGCAGAGCCACATTGACTCTAAGCGTGGACAGATCCAACAGAGCAAGGTCCCTGCCTGTGTATATAACTCCTGGGACTATACACTTCCTGGAGGCCTGGCAGTGGCTCTGATCCCCTACGTTCCAGAAAGCCAACCCCTGGAGCTGCAGGCAGCAAGTGACCCTAACCTACATCACAATGTTATGCCCTGTATGCCAGCGGCCCTTGATCAGCAGCAACAGGCCTTACCAGCTGCTGTCAGTGACCACTCTAAGCTGCCCCGAGCCTTGTCCAAGGAAGCCATTGAAAAACTGGAGACAGCTTTACGTCACAAGTATGTGGCCTTCTTGTCAGGGCTGCCTGCTCTCTATTATGTGACCCTCTCCAAGGCCATAGCTCCCCAAATCACTAGCCAATCCGTAGTCACAGAGGTGGGGCCTGGGAATATTGAAATCCCAGCAGAGCCTCCGACTCAGGTGATCTCATTAGAAGAACAGGGTATAAGTCTTGGGCCACAAGTTGGAGATGACAATGAGACTTGTGCAGACAATGCAGAAGAGTTCCAGCCTGAAGCGCAGGTGGAAGGAACGAGGGAGATGGTGCCTCTAGAAAGCCAGACACATCCTGCTAGCCTCCTCTCATTCAAGACACATATGTTGGCCAAACTAAATTACCACGTGAGGAAAAAGGTCCTAGAGATACAACTGGGAATTCCCATAAGGGCAAGGGAGTCCAGAGAACAAGCTACGACAGTCCCAGAGAACATATCAACACAGGAGTCTCTCGGGAATCTAAATAAACAAGGAAAAAAATTGCTGCAAGAACTGCCCCTCCCGCCAGATACTCCTCATGCCCCAGATCCAGAATGGGTCCACCTTAAGGAACAGCTGGCCACTGAGTTGAAGGCCGTGCAGCACAACCAAAAGCCACCTAGTTCCAAATCAGTGCCCCACGGTTCTGCCCACTGGGCCTCCGAGGTCTCACAACCCAGTGGGGACATGGCAGAAGCACAGGTGCTTTGTGTTCAGGTGGAGGCCAGTTTGAACAACCCCAGCCTGGAGCAACCCTGGCACCCTGAGCCCCAAAGCCCTGGCAAGAGCAAGGACTCAGCCCATGTCCCAGTGCTGGCAGAAAAGACAGAGGACCCAGGAAAACCCAAAGCAGCAGGGGACTATGGAGAAGGGGATGCAGGGTTGGGGCTCTCCTCAACCAGAGAAGAAAGACATCCTGCTGAAGATCAGAAACCAGCAGGGATGCTTCTGAACAGGACACTCCGAGGCTCCTGGCGATGGAGCCATAACTTTCATCCTGCTGATCCCTGTCGACGCAGCCTCCAGCATCACGCTCAGCCTAAACTCCCAGAACTACCTCCAGGAGTCCCTGGGGGAAAACAATCTGCGAATGACCTGCAAGACAGTCAAACCGAGATGAATGTCAGCCTCGAATCAGCAAGGATTCCTGAGAATGCCCAGCCTGTGGTGTCCCAGGCTTCACGGGGCCAGCCCTTCCTGAGTCAAGTAATGCAGGGTAAGCAGTGGCGGGGCCAAACTTTGCAAGGTCATGTATTGCACGGGCAGGTGATGCCAGCCCATACTCACAAGAGGCCCAGCATTCCAGAATCTAACTTAAGAAATAAGATTAAATCCTTTCTGCACTGTTTTAGCTCCAAAATGAAAGGCAAAGGGCATGAGGAATCCATGTTCTCTACAGCTGAGAAAGTGGTCAAAGCCAGAAAAGAAAAGGTTGAAAAAAGACCGGCTCCAGCCAAAATCTCCATGAGAAAAACTAAGACAGACAAGCCAACCGGGCATCCCAAGGCCCAATCTTTCCCCACTGAGAAGCCGGTGGGCCAGACCTCCTTGGATGCTCCTCATTCCCCTGACAATAAGCTCCGGCTATGCTCCAGACATCGTGGCTCTTCAGTTCTGGGTCACCCCCGCCACTGCCCTCGGCACTGCCCTCGAGTGGCTTTTGCCACTCAACCAAGAATCCCTACCTAGCTCCCCACCCTCCGCCACTGCCCTCGGCACTGCCCTCGAGTGGCTTGTGCCACTCAACCAAGAATCCCTACCTAGCTCCCCACCCTCACCTCAGACAGAAATACTGGTCTGCTTGAGTACCCCCAGGGCAATGAAAAAGAGTTTGTAGGCTCCCCAACCTCTGCATCCCTTGAAGAGGACTGTTACTGTCATTTCCATTAATGTACAGGTGGGGCAGATCTCCACCCAAAAACACTCTATATCTGTAACAAAGAGTTGTCTGTCTGCTCCTTGTCTCCACTGTATTGTGTTAAGGGAAGGCTTGAGAGAGGTTAAAAAGTTATTCCTCTCTAGAGAAGGAGCTTCGACCCACAATTCTGAGAGGTCATTTTAGAGGAGTATCACAGTGTTCCTTCTTGGTCAAAAGCACACAGTTAATAGGACAGATGTCAAAACCAAATGCTAGAATTTCCTGTTTGCTCCCTTTTGGGATTGGGAAGATCTTTCTGGAGAAGCCATCTAGGAGCCTGCTGTAACCCTGTTACCTGTTTCTTACCTCCACTGACTCTCAGCTGCATGAAATGAATGTCCCCTGGAATGAAGATCACAGTAGGAAATGGAGAGGGTCCTGTCCCCACACTCAAGGGGAGGTAGGGAGGGATGCATGTAGTTGGAGGTCTAAGTACCTGGGACAAACCCTGACAGGTTCCTGCCCAAGGGCATAATAACAGAGAAAATCTAGTTTGTTTGGCACTAAAACAGCCTAGAGCCAGGAGGTAAATCCAAGGCTGAAGTGCTTTGTGGGGGAGGGAGGGAATAAACTCTGAACTTGGGTCTGCTGGCCCTTCGTGTGATTAAGGACAGTGCATTCAGCATTGAAGTTTCTGGGAAAGAATGACAAACACAAGGGGTTCTCTAAACATATCCAAAGCCGTCAAGTTACTGCTGGCAGCTTGTACACAGCCCTATTGTTGTGTCCTGTTTCTACAACACCTGCATCTGGGGTCCTTCACCACCACCCTTCTTTGCTTCCTGAATATACTTTCATGGTAAGTAATGGTGCGGAACTTAGCTGAATCCCCTCCAGGATCTGCCTGGTGACTTCCCCTCAGAGGATGACTCCTGTACTTTCACCCACCAAGGACTGTACCACATAAGCCTGGCAGTTCCAGCCCTTGGTTCCTGTCATATACTTCCCCATCTCTTCATTACATCCCACTGCATTTCCGAAAGCACCAAAACCATTCACCTTGACTGTCAAAAGAAGACTTTAAGGTTTGGGGGAAGTGTCCTCTCTATTAAACAGCCACCGAAAGTGATCAAAAATCTAGAAGTTAATGCCACACATGAGTCTTTAACAACCAGATCAGCTGCTCATAACTGAGGTGGGACTCTGGCCCCTTTGCCTCTCTCTGGAAAAGTCCAATATTTTGCTATTTCAGGAAAATATCTGTTTATCACTAATGGAAATATTATGTGCAAGTCTCGGAAACACTTGAAACGAAGAAACCCAAGGAGGCTGAGAGGAAAACAGGTCTATAAGCAGCTGCTACGTAATGTAAGCCCCTTCAAACTATACCCTGTCCATATTCTCCCTCACACACAGGCTAAATGAAGTCCCTCCTATATACCTGCTTTAGGAGACCTCCTGAATAGCTTGACCATACTGTGACACTCCTAGAGCTCTTTCCTGCTACCTGTTCAGTCCCACCCCCACTCCCACCCCATCACTGGGTGGGTGATCCACCACAAAGGCAGCTTTGGTAAGCCTGGCCACACAGTCAGACCTCTTAATGGTGGCCATCATACTCATATTTCCTTGAACCTCTGAAGAGGCCTAAGTGGATGCTGTCCTTCCTTCCCCAGTTGCCTGGGTTGGAGCAGGCACGGATCTCCCTGGAAAGAATACTGGAACACCTGGCCTCTTAAGGAAGCCATGGCAGAGCAGCATAGCTGAAGGTTATGCTTGCTATGCTCAATAGAATGTTAAGTATGAGTAAAAGATTTGGGTCATCCCCTTTCCTTTGGAAGGAAAATTCTGGCTGAAGTGGCCAGAGAATGATTTCAGGGGAAAAAGATAAACATGAACGAAGGGCAGCAAAACTATAACACAAGGAAAACATTACAAAATCCTTGAGCAAGTGTTTATACAACTTTCAGGCCAAAGGGCTGACCCCATGGAGAGGATGCAGGTTTCAGGTCCAAGTCACAAGAATGTAATGTGGGAAAAAAACATCAGGGTTAGAAATCTAGCTCTGATGTTTGACAAGTTAACATTTCTGAGCCCCAGTTTCTTCATCCGGGAAAGAGGGATAATTGTATATCCATTATCAATGTACTTGTGACTCCCCAAAGCACTTCTCTGAAAGTGAAATCCGAAGCCCAGTCTCACTGCCGATCTCCTAACTGTACAGTGAACAGCTGGCGGAAAGCTCCATCTTGCTCCAATGACAATGCAAATTAATTCAGAATCTCCAAACACCCTCCACCCCACCAAAGTGCTTTCCAATGTAAGGGAATTCTATACTATGCATTCTTTTTCTTGTGGTTGCTGTTACTCCATACATCAAGATAGTCACTGGGTCTAATCTGCATAATTCTCAACTTGGCCCCTATCCTCTATTCTTATCGACTCTCCTTGAAGTTCAGTTTCTCATCCTTCACTTGCCTGGATGATTAGAATAAGAGTCTCATAAGCCCAGAGCCTAGGATAGTGCACAGTAATACCTTAATATGAGTTGAATCCAAAGTCTGGGCTGGGGAATCGCACAAAGCATTTCATCAGTGTGATGAGTGCTGTGAGGGGTGGGATCATCCCACAACAGGAAGTACTCAGCTGATGAGGAGGACCCCAGAAGTGCTGCAATAAAAATGACCTGGAGAAGCATCTTGCATTCAAGAGTTCAAATATTTGAATACTTACTATGTGCTGGGTAAAATGCCAAACGCACAAATGAACAAGAAACAGGCCTTGCCCCAGTGGAGTTCATGATTTCATGGGGTAGACAGTCTCAATTGCCCAAACTGCTAGTCAACATATATACTTGGAATTCCAA